CATGGCGGGTGGTTTCGTCTGGTGTCTGAGGAAGCTTTCAGGAGGGACTGGGTGGTCATGGGGTCTGCACTGTGCTGCACACGCTTTGTGCGGACTCCACTGCCCACGCCTGAGGGGCTGCCCTGTCTCCCTCACAGGCCGCCGTGGGAAGTGCAGCGGCTCCACCTCCGGGGAGGCCTTTCTGAGTGAAGACAATGTCATGAGCTTGGAAGAGGTTAAAAATCGACAGAACACAGCTCGAAACAACAGCCAGCCCACAGTTGAGGCTTTGGGAGACTTGGGGTGCAACATCCTTCCCTTGGAGCAGAGGACCTGTCCCCCCAACAGGAATGGGTGCTTCAGCCCCCTGAGTGGCAGCAAGATCCCGGGTGGGAAGAGGACAAAGGCCACGAGCGGGGAGGAGGCCCTCCCGTCACCTGTCCGCAGCTTGGCGGTGGAGTTCAATAAACTCCATTTGCAGAATCTAGGGAGTGGCCCTTCTGAGACACCAAATGAAAGTGTGAACATGAGAGATGAGAAGATCCTGACATCAGGAGCAGATGCAATGGACAGTGACGCGTCAGAGCCTCCTGCTGCCAGCAGACTCGGAAACAGCCAGGCGGGGACGGACAGCGAGACGTCGACAGGGATGGCCAACATGTGCCTGGATGCCCACAGTCCTGGACACAAGGCCCAGCACAGCTGCACTTCGGCGTCCTCGGAGCCCGCAGAGGCCCCCACCATGGAGGAGCCTGTCTGGAGGCTCTTCCTTTTTGGGTATGAGTTGGGGGTGGGGGCTGTTCAGGGAGACGCTGTAGGACGGGTGTGAGGCTCGATGACACGGAGTGGGGGAGTGAGTGTGTGTGGCAGCTTCCCTCTGCCCACAGCCTGGCCTCACACGCACCACTCGTTCACACGTGTCGGGTGTGTAGCTTCTTGAGGCTCTCAGTCTGTCTCAGCTGGATCTTCAGGTTGGTAGGAGACACGCCCTTTTCAGCTTGTCCTTGTGTTGCTGTTGTTCCTGGGAAGATAGACACCCCAGAATGACTGGAACTGTCCTAAGAATGTTGCTTGCTTTGGGAAGAGGGGTCTGGGATTCAGTCCCCGTCCCCCAGGTGGCGGTCTGTCCCAGGTCGATGGTTCTCAGAACTGGAAATGGAGTTGCATTTTCATGGCAGGGCAGATCCTGGGGGCACTCTCTCCCAAGCCAGCATGTCCTTTCTGCCACCTTAGCCTCGGCCCCTCCGCAGCCTGGGTTGTGCCTGACAGTTGGTGCTTAAGATGGTGGTGGGGGACCAGCACAGGTCTGCCCCTGTGCTGGGTTTATGAATCAAGGATGCAGCGGTTTGCCCTGGCAGGGTAGCTTGGTTGGCTCCAGTGTCATCCCGATAACGCCATGGTTGCAGGTTCAGTCCCCAGTCAGGGCACATACAAGAATCAGCCACTGAATGCATGAGTAAGTGGAACAACAAACTGATGTTTCTCTCCGCCGCGCCCCCAAAATCAACCAGTCAAAAGAAAAGGAAATGCCGTGCTGCTGGAAGTCTGTTTTTGATCACAAGTGTTTCTCCCTTTCCTCCTCTTCGGTAACGCCTCCCAGCGAGGAGCCGTCGAAGCTGGACCGGGACGTGCTGGCCGCCCTGGGGTGTGTGGACGTGGACCCTCGGCAGCACCCTGCCGTGCACAGGTGGAGGAGCGCCGTCCTGCACTACCCGCCCTCTGCCAGGCAGAGGTACACACGGGCCCCCGGGTCTGCTGGCACTGGAGTTTGGGGCCGCCCAGTTCTGACCCACACGCATGTACTGGTCCCCCCAGGACACTGGACAAGCTGGTGTCTAGCTCCCCGACATGTGGCCGTGGCTGGGGGCATCTCAGGGGAGGGGCCTTCAGTGCGTGAAGAAGCCGAAGGGGTGCTGCTGACGAGGGAGGGCGTGGGGAGCACCCAGGGTTCCTGGTCATGATCATGTGGGATTTATGTAGACAATCAAATGGGCTCTTAAACTTCAAGGCCTATGTTCTGAGGTTCTAAGGGCCTCTCGTAGCCACAGTGGTCCTTTGGGCTCAGGTGCAGGAGGTCCCATCGTGGCCTCTGATCCCCCCTCACCGCCATGTGTACTGACAGACCTTTTCTGGTTTCCTCAGCTGGCCAAGCCCTGCGGTAAAAGGGAAGCTGACGTCTCAGCAGCCAGATCTCAGTTGCCCTCCCAGCTGCAGCCCAGGGAGAAGTGGTCCTTCAGGAGGCAGCCCCAGGAGGCCGGGACTGGCCCCTCACTCGCCCTGCCTGGGCAGCCCTGGGCGCTACAGCCCTGCCAACGAGGGCCACTTGCGCAGGATGGTGCCCTTGGCCTAGCTCGCATCCCTGTAGGGCTGGGGCTCACTGCGCGGCTCGTGCTTCATTTTTAAAGAAAGAAGGATAACGTGTTTGTTGCTCAAATTCACAAAAAGGATATATTCTGATTAACTTATTAATCATTTTGAGAGTAAAAGTATTTTAGAAAATGCATATGTTCTGTATAAAATTTATGTATCTGGTACTTTGGGAGAAGTTGATGAAAGCAAACTCAGGTACCAGTATTTTGGAATGTGTCAGTGTGGCAGTGCCCCAGACGTGGTTGCTGTCCTGGTCGCGTGTGTGACTGCCCGGGAGCCAAGGCCACCTGTGCTCCCGCAGACCACCACCCGTGCCTGGGGGCGGGGGCGGCCGCGCCAGGAGCTGCCCCCTGCTGGAGCCACCTTGCTGCAGCTCGGTTCTGGGCACTGAGGTGAATTGTGCCCACCTTCCTTTTCTGGGGTGCGGGGAGTTACTTTGGGGTTCCCCTTGATTGGACAGAGGTAAAGCTGCCTTCTCAGACACAGCCAGGGGCCCTGGGAGGCCTGCGTGCGCCGCCAGGCCTGGGCCGTGGCCCCGAGCAGTGTGCTGTGCCCGGCTCGGAGCCTGCCTGCCGCCTGCTGCCAGGCAGGGCACACAGTTGTTTCCTGGCTTTGATGTGATCTCATGTTTCAGAATTTACTCAGAATATTTTGGAACTTACTCCAGTTGGATTTCTGTTATAAAAGCATCCCATTTTAGTACAGAAACTGGAGGTTGACTTCTGAGGGGTTTGAGACTGGTTCAGTGATTTGAGTGTGGTTTACTTCAGCCCCGCCCCCGGGGTCTCAGTGCAGAGTGTGGGAGTCACGCTCCCAGTGCCACACCAGACGCCCAGGGACAGACCCCGCAGGGTGACGGGCGGCTGCGCGCAGAGCCGCGTTCTGTGGACGTCCAGGGTGGGAGCCAACTGAAAGCTGTCAGCGCTTTTGCTAACTTCAGTGCCTTTTGTAAATGATTTTTTATTTTCCTGGACTTGATTTTTGAGAATGTATAGTGATGCTGAGTAGGCATGAGATTCTTTTTCATTCATAAAGACAGCTGTCTTTCAAATAAAGGTGCAGATTTAAAATTTCTAATGATTACACAAGGTGTTTTCACATGTAGAGTCGCTGACAATCTGTGTGAGACAGAAAATGTTCTGCTGTAAACTCCAGCGGCATTTTAAATGGCATCTTTGTTCTCAGAAGAAATCAGAGTAGACACATTCACAGTGCTCATCTGTCTTTTTCTTACCTTACTGCCCTGTGTGTTGCTGTAAATACTCAGATGGACATTAAAGGAGTGCTCTGCCCTAATTTTGCCGACTGCTGTTCCTGTCTTGTGAAGTTTGGCCTTTGTTCCCTGTTTGATTCTGTTGGGCAGCCTGGTCCCAGCGAGATCTCCAGTGACGATGTTCTTTTAGAACCAGTTAGTGAATCATTTTTAAGACCATGTGGCAATAATTCTAAGATTTCAGAAAGACCTCTCACCTGTGACCAGGCAAAATGCTGTTTTTAGTCAAATCTGAAGCCGTGTTCGGTGAGACTGTTGATCGGTCATTTCCTTTCATTCCTGACACAGTTGTGAGCGTCGTTCTGGCCTCGGTGAAGTCAGCATGTTTCCTCGCTGCACTATGTAACGCTAGCAATTGCTGTGTGACTCCTGCCGTCGAAAAGGGGTGACATGAACCGCCCTGCAGTGGGGTTGGGTGCTAGGCCTGACGGGCTCCGTGTTGTGGAGCAACCGCCATCCCAGGTGCCAGGCCCTGGGCAGAGCCTGTACACGGATGTTCGCAGAAGCATCCAGTCTCCAGAGGAAGTGACAGGCTGGGGGGATGCCTGCCTGTTGGGTGTAGTTTCAGAGCTTCCCTGGGCCGATGTACTCCCTGGGCTGTTGGGAGACGCATGCTTTTCCTGTGTCTGACGCTGATGTTTTTTGCATGTGCACCAACACCCGAGTTTCCTGGCTTACAGATCACACACGCACCTGTCTCAACAGGTGTTCTGGAACGAACAGCAGCACAGCATGAACTGCCTGCTGCCTTCGTGCTGGTGTTGGTTCAGGTCCCATCGTGTCATGTGTGTTTCTGGTGTGTAGTTGTCACCGATGCCACTGGGCCCTGTAACTGTCCAAACGCCCTCCTCCTGCCCCAGAGCTGTGTCCCACTTGGACTCACTCTGGTTTCTGAGATCCTCTTCCGCTTCTCACAGGTTGTGTAAAGGGCAGAAATGCCACCAAAGGCAGGTCTACACATGGGACAGGAAGGAGGACCTGCCACCTCCATCCTCAGGCCTGCAGGTCCTGGGGGTACAGGGCTCCACGGGGCAGGGCTCCCTGGCCTCATCCCCGGAGGTCAAATGTGAGCGCCACCTGTTGCACCTGTGGTTCCAGAAATTGGCATGGAGCCTGGCTTAGCTATCCAGACTGTTCGTAGGAAATGATGTTGTGGTGGCTGCTTCTAAAAGAGCACCTACCACGCACAACAGGCTCCCTGTCCTGGGTCAGGGCCTGCCGTGAGGCCAGGGGCAGCTGCCCAGTGAGGCCGTCAGCCTGGGTGTGGGAGCCACTACAGAAAAGGGCTTTCTATGGAAACCGTCTCGGCGAGTTTGGGGTCACCGTCTGCTGCACGGCGCAGGCTTCCTATTTTCTTTAAAACAGTCACAATCAGTACTTTGGAAACCAGTAAAATAAAATTTTATTTTGTAGTTATTTCTAAAGTTGACAGAAATAGAGCAAGTATCCCATTTGGTTGACCTGATTGCAGAAAATGTTCATAATCACTTCATAGAAATTGTACTGTTTTTGTAAATTAACAGAATATTTGGGGTGGGCACATCATATCCAAATATTTAAATCTGTAAGCCTAAGAGCTTAACAGCCAGAGGCAATTGTCAGTTGGATATTTTACTTAAAACAGGACTCTGTTCTGGGCTGTCACCACCTGGCCCCCCGCCCTCACCTGCTTAGGAGCTCCTGTGTGTCCAGAGAGGCCAATCGTGTAGGTGAGTTCAGATCCAACGGCGTCAGGGGTGTGTGGTTTTGTCTCAACAGTGAGATACAGTCTTCACTGCCGGAACCCAGACGGACAGTCTTGAGTTGACAAACACGTACCACAAATGGCAGAAGGGTTGTAAGAAATGAAAAGAATGTAGGAAGCAAAATAAGTCACAAATGGAAGTGCTGGGCCCTCCTCCAAGTCCCCGGTGCCGGACAAGCTTTGCTGACAGAGGGTCGAGGGGTCGCATGGCCAGCTGTGGTTGTGACCAAAGACACATCGATGCAATCTGCGGTGGTCCCCGCAGTGACACCTGCGAGGCCTCCTTGCAACCCCACAGGCTTGTCCTGGGGGAGGAGACCCTGAGAAAGGATCGGCTGGTCCGACCTGAATGCTCCCCTTTTCCATCCAGGGCCACATGGACTGAAACACAGATTTCAGATACTTCCCTCTGGCTGCCTGGTCCTGGAGAGGAAGTGACCGCAGCGCAGCCTGTGGAGGGGACGGCAGGAAGGCATCTGTGTTCCTGGTGGCTCCCATGCCGGGTGAGGAGAGTGGGCCTCAGGAGCGGGAGATCTTGTCAGGAGGCATGAACCCCGTGTCCCCAAGAGCCCGGAGAGCCACACGGCCATCGGGCCGGACCACCAGATGGGTGATGCTGCCGTTGTTGAGGGAGAGGCGGAGCCAGCCTTCAGGAGGGAACTGCAGCGCCCTGGAGGGAGGACAGGACGGGCTGGAGGGGCTCACAGAGCTGCCAGCCCCCACCCCGCAGAGCCACCGCCGGTGCCAACACCCCATGAAACAGAGGGGTGGTGACAGCCTGCCCATGGGACGGGGGATGACACAGGGCAGCACTCCTGAGCCTCTCCCCAGGACGGTGGGTGGCTACATACAGCCCACAGCCCCGTCGCATTCCCACGACCTTGAAAATGCTGCCTGGCATGGTTAGTGGGGAGCAGTTGCTACAAAGCCCAGTGTTCCTGGTCAGCAGGCAGCCCCCAGGCCCAGGTCTTGGTGGGGACGAACAGCATCGCCTCAGCACCCCCTGCAGCCAGAGCCTCCACAAGAGCTGTCAACCTAAAGGAATAAGCTCCATGCTCCTTTCCGTCTCCGAGTCGCTGTTGCCGTCCTCAGTCAGTCAGCAGAGTGCCCTCCGTCTCGATGGACATGCCGTGGCTCTTTCTGGCCCTCTAGCTTTAACATGGGTCACCTCTGCTCCAAGTCCCCAAGCATTCCTGGTGTTTTCTGCATGGGGGTCACTTAGCAGTGACTGCTGAGGTCGGCCCTGTCCCAGGATCTGGAATAAGGCTGTGTCCACACAGACGGCTCACCCTCAGGTGCCCAAGGCAGTGGCTTGGACAGGCGCACAGAGCACAGCTTTGAGGCTGGGCCTGCGGAGCACTGGGGTTGGAAGCTGTGGAGCCCAGAGGCCCCTCCACCCCTAGCAGCACTGGTCTAATGGGGAGCCCCCAAGTGAGCTGGGACTCCTGGGCCTCTCGTGGGTCCATGCACGTGACATCTAAGGAGAGATGGTCTCCAACAGCCCTGGGTACAGGCCCAGGGTTCAAGCACAGCAGGGAGAGGCCCTGAGCAGCTGGCTGTGCTCTGTCCTTCCCTGCCAGACTCACGAGGGGGAACCCCCTTGCAATGGAAGCACCTGACACTTTCTAATGGATTGGCTGGGGGGCAGGCGGAGGTTCCCAGTTACTTTAAATACACAAGCACCCAGCTGGCCTTCCCACCTACGGGCCATCTGTGACACATGGCTGCAGCTCAGGGCAGTGTCACAAAGGCCCTAGGGCTGTGTGTGGAGCCAGGAAGCGAGGACACTGACGCCCGGAGTTCCCGACAGCCGCGCTGGAGCAGCGAGGCAAGATGACTAGGGAGGCGGGTGGGGCTCCCCACCAGTGCAGATCAGGAGCCCGTGGGGATGGGAGCTACGGGAGGCAACGGAGGCATCGGGCTCCTGCAGAGGGAAGTCACTAAGGAAGACAGACCAAGGCGCACAGGGTGGCCCTGCGGCAGGACGGGCACTGTGGTCACTGAGGGGAAAAGACGACTGAAGTGACGCATCCAGCGCATACAGTGCCTTCACCCAGGGACCGAGTTCGCATCACCCAGGACCTGGGCAACTGCCAACAAAGACACGTGATCACGAGAAACTCCAAGTGAAACACATTCTACCAGACAGACAGCCCGGCCTCCAGGACAGTGTGAAGGCCAGAGGTGGGCAGAGGAGCTGGCGCTGGCTGGCAGGAGGGGAGGCCAGGCCCAGGGCACCCACGGGACCCTCACCGGCACACAATGTAGCGGATGACGTTGGCGTGGCAGATGAAGATCTCATAACTGTCCTCCTGCTGCTTGGCATCTGCCCGGTGGATGTAGTTCCGGAAGGCGGCCTCAATCCTGGCTCCGTCTTCATAATACTGCTGGGGGCAGAGTGAGACCCCTAAGACTGCAAGTGCTGGATGGGAGTGGAGAGAGCAGGGGGAGCTGCCCAGGGCAGGAGGGCCAGCGAGGGACAGGAGGGAGACCACCATCGGGGGGGTGTTTTACCACAGCCTCTGGCTTCCAGTGAGACACGGGGGGGTCGGGCTCAATGGGGGCACCTTCCCTCAGCAGGTCTGTGCTGACCGTGGAGACGCCTGCAGAGAAGCAGTGACTCAGCACAGTGACTGTGCGTGTCCCCGGAGGCTGCTAAGGGACCCAGGGACGCACACACCCACCTGGCAGGTGTTTGCTGATGATGTTGGTGGTTTCCACTGCGCGGGTCATGGAGGAATGCACTATTTTATTAAACTTCAGCCCCAAGCTTGCAAGTCGGAGACCAGTTAGCTCAGCCTGTTCACGACCTTGAAGGTGAAACACAGAATGACACGCTGCCGGAGTCTCCTGTTCACCCCACAAATGCCTCAGTCCTGACCAAGTTCCACCAGGGTCAGGGGACAAGATGGGCAGGCTAAGTCTGGGCGGGCCATTTCTGAGTCCCTCACACCAGTGTCACTCAACTTTGTGCAAAGATTTAGTCTCACACACTTGTGACCGGCTGGCTGTGCCAGCACCAGGTGTGGACACGGAAACCCAGTGACCCTGGCGTCACCAAGTACAGACTGTGCAGACGCAAGTGCTTGTCCTCCAATATGTCCAAGAATCTAGTGGAAATGTCCTCAAAGAGTCATTTCGGCTGCACACACGGACACCCACGGATGTAGCTTCAGTTCCATTTTTGTACCTGGCACGGTGCACAGGGGGTGCCCCCTGCAGGAGCACACAAAGCCCCTGCTGTGGTGGGGGACTGGGGGTGTCAACACCTGCAGCAAGACCCACTGCACAATGTTTTTTTTTAACGAATTGAAGGCAAGACCCTCCAGCAAAGGTTACAACTGGCTTTACTGCTGTGGTCTGGAACCACCCCCACAACATCTCCAAGGTCTGCCTGCAATATTTTTTAAAGCTGAGGACATTTTCAAAGCCTGTCTTGTGTCAGAGGTGAACAGTTATAATGACAACCCGAAAGTCTGGGCCAAGGGTCCCTGACCAGGGTCCAAGGAGGCTACAGCTGGGACTGAGCCCCAGCCACGTACCCAGGGGCGTCAGGGTGCGGTCCTTGTCCCGGGAGGCGTCCACGTGGTACTGGGAGTGCCTGATAAGGAAGATGTGCCGCGTGGCCTTGGCTTTGCAGTGGTCGACCCTGGACGCCACGTCGTCATCTCCAGAGTCCAGGTTCCTCTTCCGCAGGTTGACAAGGGACAGCGGTTCTCGCCTAATGTTGAAAGAGGAAACAGTATGCCCTTGTGACTCTTCACCTGTCAGGCTTCAGAATTTCTGGTGAGACGGTCTTCCCATGCGGGGAAAGCCCTGGGAGGCGCCAGTGGCCTCGTCCACCCCAGAGCTGTGCGCCAGGCCTGCTGTGAGCGACTACTGGACAGGGAGCAGAGCAGATGCACAAAGCCCTCATGCAACGTGTCCTTCAGGGACAGACTGGCAATGGCAGGGTGACCGGGGATGGAGAAGCAAGGCCAGGTTACAGGAGTGGCTGTGGGAGGGTGGCCCGAACCACCTCGCTGAACAGTCACCGAGGTCAAGTCTGAAACTGTGCTGTCCAATAGTAGCCGCTAACCACGTGGCTACTTAATTCAAAATAACGAAATGAAATAGAACTGAAGCACACTTTAAACACTCAGTAGTACGTGGGACGGGAGGGAGGGAATGTTTCCCTTATGGAATCTATGGTTGGCACCTGGAATGTTAGGAGCTGATGGGAGGGACACGTCGGCAAAGCTGCTGAGAAGCAACACATGACGTGTGTGGCGGACAAGTCTGGTGGCTCACAGCACTGAAGTGACTAGGAACCACACATCGGTGACACTGGCAGAGCTGGAACAAGAATGAACTCGGCTGGAGTAAGTTCTGGGGCAGCAGTGCTGATTCGAGGGCTCTGCCTGGGCCGTGCAAAACCATGGTGCCCGTAACACACTCAGGCTGAGCGGCTGCAACGGCAGGGGCGTGGGCACCGGGGCTGAGCCAGAGAAGACACCTGGGAGCCGCAGCCAGACAGGCAGCCCGCACTGCATGCGGCTCCCAGGGAGAGGCTGCAGGTCTGAAGCCGTCCAGCAGGGACAGACCCTTCCACGGATCCAGGCTTCAGCCTCAGAGGGAGCCTGTTTCCTTACAAAGGCCTAAGACGTTGGGAAGACTGCCCTGATGTCAAAAAAAAGAAGACAGCCCGTTCTAATCACATGAAACAGACGTGTCAACCGAAGGACATTCTTCATGCTGTCATCGCCATTCAAAAAAGTGACAAACTGTCACAGCAAAAAGGAGCCCGAGGAGACGTGAGGACCCTGGGGGTAAACCCTGGATTAACCTCCCTGGAGCATGGACATCATTGGTCGAGACACACGTGCCACGCTAGTAACAGAGGAAACTGGGTGTGGGGTACACAGGAACCCTGTCGTGTCTGCAATGTCCCTGCAGATCTAAAATAAAAAATAACTTTATCTTTTAAAAAGTAAAGGTTAAAGAACAATCTCCATTTCGTTCCTGATACAACCAGGCTAAGAGTGTGTTAGTTCAGCGCCCCTCTCCCAGCAAACTGTCCAGGGGCAGCCACGGCGGTGACAAGCTCCCAAGCACGGACATGTAGAGAGTAGGAAGAAACGGGGGAAACTCACTTTATTCGATCCAACGTATCCCACGCACTATCGGCACATAAATACCTGAGCATCTGCACTGCTTTGGTTTTAAATTTTTACATTAAACGAAATTAAAAATCGTTTCCGGGTCCCAGGAGCCACCTTTCAAGCGCTCTTGAGGACATGTGGCTGGGCCGGGTCACACCCGAGGGCCCTGCGCGCCCCCGCCCCGCGCACCCACATCCTCCCAGCGCCTAGGAAACGACCGAGGCGCCACATCCAAGCCGAGGACGGAAACAACGGGGACAAGCCCTCGGCCTACAACTGAAAACGACACTGTCCCTGCCTCCGCGTACTCGCTCCTCAGAACGACCCTCTGGGCAGAGGAGGGGGCTTAGCGGGGTTGGGGGTCGCCCACATCACAGCCTGAGAGACCCCGCACGAAGCCCGACTCCTTCTGCCAAACCGACCACGTCAGACCGAGCGGGGCGGCGAGGAGCCGTGCAGGACCCGCCGCCCGGCACCCCACCTCACCCGCCGGCCCCGCACCTGTCCCAGTTGGGGTCCCAGACGCCGGGCCCGGGACGTGCGACCCCGGCCCACGCCGACGGCTCGACCACGCGCGGCTCCGCGTCCCCGCCCGCACGGGGCTTCCCCACCGCCACGGCAGAGAAGAGCACGGCGGCCGAGCCCCCGGCCAGGCCACAGGCCGCCAGCTGCAGCGCGTGCCGGAACGCCATGCCCGGCCGTCCCGCTCTGCCCCGCGCAAGCGCTCATGGGCGCGGACGGCGGGCCGCTGGGCACTCGCTGCGCGGACGCCTGCTTCCGGCCACCGGCGGCGCCGCGGGGCGGAAGTCCCGCCTCCTGGGGCGCGGGACCGCTGACTTCCGGAACCAGGTGCAGCAACTCGGTGAGTGGTCGTTTTGTGAGCCTCTCCCCCAGTTTTTGCGCGAAGTCCGGGTGCAAGTCACTGCTGCCTTGGAGCGCGAGCGTTCACGCGGCGACATCTGAGGGGCGCGACGGGAGCCCTGAGCTCGCCCAGCGCCCAGGAGAGCGTGGGAGTGGGCTGACCACGCCGCGGGAGCCAGAGGGCAGGGTGGCAGAGGCGGCCTCGGAGATGCGAGATTGGAATTCAGTTTAGTGAACTGTGAAACCTCCGCAGGTCTCGTTTTGGTTTTACTGCAGTAAAATGCACACATGAGGTTACAGTCTTAACCACGTAGCAGCGCGCGCGGCTCAGGGGCGTTGAGCCCTTTCGCACGGTGCAGCCGTCACCTCCCTGGGTCCCCATGACTCGTTGGTCTTCCCAAACTGACGCTGCCCACATTCAACACTTCCCCCAAGTCTCCGCTCAGCCTCTGTGCGGTTGACGAGGCACCGCCTGAGTGAAATCATATAGTATTTGTCCCACTGGGGACAAGCTTATTTCACTGAACGTAACGTCCTCAAGATTTATCCACGTTGCAGCAGGAGTCAGAATACCCTCCCTTTGTAAGACTCAATTAAATTCCACTGTGTGGTAGATCACTTCTTGCCCATCCAGGCTTCCGTGGACACGGGTTTTCCACCTCATGGCAGTTGTGGCTGTGGGCGCGCAGATCTCTTCGCGTCCCCACTTTCAGTTCTTTTGCGGGCCCATCCAGAAGTGGACTTCTTGGGTCACCCACTTGTGCAGGTTTTTAAGTTGAGAAGTGATGCGCTCTGGTTTACATTTTTAAAACACTTTGGCCCTGGCTGGCGTGGCTCAGTGGACTGAGCACGGGCGCTGCAAACCAAACGGTCGCTGGTTCGATTCCCAGTCAGGACACATGCCTGGGTTGCGGGCCTGGTCCCCAGTAGAGGGCGTGTGAGAGACAACCACACATTGATGTTTCTCTCTCTCCCTCCCTTCTCCTCTCTAAAAATATTGTTTTAAAAAGACAGAAAAAAAGGCAATAAAGCCACTGACAATTGTGTTCAATGTTATTTTTTTAATCATGTTTTTAAAAAAATACTTTGGATTTTGGAAAATTAGTCTATTACCATGAACTACCTAGATCTTAGTTTAAACGTGGTGTCTTGAACACATACATTTATGTCTCCTCCTAGAAGGTTGCTTACTAAACCAAAGGTAAAAAGATTTAAAAAGGAAAAGAAAAAGATAAATACACAAGGACATACCTGAGTCCACAAAAAAGAATAAATCAGTTGACAAAATTTTGGAAGCTGGAAATCAAGCCTATTGACCTGGGAAGATAAATCACCAGTTGCCTGTACTCATGGAACCCAGGAAGCAAGCTCTTAAGTGAGTCCAGAAAATTCAGGGAGTTACAGGCATTATCTCACCCTCCACCCACCCCTGGAAGGATGGTGGGCGGGGCTGAACAAGAGCGCTGTCCTCTACCTCTCCTCCATCACCTATACATTCAGGTGAGTGCTGCACCTCCCTTATGGCAGAACACTAGAGAGGTTTCATCCCAGAGGATCTGAACCAGAAGGACTGGGTGTGAGACACCAGGCAGCTGAGACTGGGAGGCAGTAATAACAGTGACATTATCTGAAGGCCATGTCCTAACAGGGCCTCTCACCCTTTCCTGCAGTTGGCCACTAGCCTTACTCCCTGCTCCACCACAAACGCTATCCTTCCCCCAGGCAAGAAAGGAAAGGATTCCTCTCTGGGGAAACGGACCGGCCCATGAGAAAAGACCTCAGTTACTGAGAACTAGTGATTCCCAGCAAAACTGGGTCAGCCCACAGAGAGTGACATCTGACGAGTGCAGCACCTTCACACTGAGCTCCCAGAGACTTCTCGAGTGGCTTTGACTCCAACATTGATGCACAATCAAAGATCAACAGACATTTGAGGAAATCCCAACTGAGAAAGACAAAGACCTGAACGAGGAAAAACAAGCTCTGATTAAGTAGAAAGAAAGAAAATTTCACAAAATAGATAACTAAGCTTCCCAAGGTATTTTTTAAAAAGATTTTATTTATTTTTAGAGAGAGGGGAAGGGAGAGAGAAAGAGGAAGAGAAACACTGCTGTGTGGTTGCCTTGCACGCATCCCCAACTGGGCACCCGGCCCACAACCCAGGCCCGTGCCCTGACCGGGAATCCAACTGGCGTGGTGAACCCTTTGGTTTGCAGGCTGCAGCTCAATCCACTGAGCCACAGCAGCCCCGGCGGGCCACCAAGGGATGTTGTATCCATGATACCAGGGTGGGATCCTATCAGGAAAGAAGGTTCTGAGTGAGAACAGGGTGGGAGGGTTATTGTCACCGAGCAACAGGACAGCAGGAATCAGCTGCAGTTCAGCCTGTTTATCACACAGCCTCTCAGAGCTTCTAGGGAAGTCTTGGTTTAGAAGCACCTTTTCCTCGGTGCCTGCTAGCTAAGCAGTAGTATTGTATGTTTTACCATGATTTCTTGTGAAAGTAAAAAAAGACATGAGGGCAGCCTTCAGACCATGCATTTGTTCCAAAGCCACAACAGTCACTGTGAGAAATTAAAATCACCACAGAAAAAGCTACACTAGAGTTTATTGTGATCCTAATTCACTCCGAAGTGGCTCGTGAAATCATCGCAACTGTGTTTTAAGTTTCTAGGCAGCACCACCTGAATTCAGCTACTGCCTTTTTAGAGCATAAGATTCTAACATTAAGAGATTGCCGATTCTCCATCACTTTAAGGCATGTTGAATCACAGGATCTGGCGTGAGACAAGTTGTGACCAGGTTGTTTCTGCGCTCACCTGCCCAGGTGAGCGCTGCCCCAGACTCAGCTCAGCAGCGCACGGACACCTCTCCGGCCGTCCTCACTTCCCCAGGGAGGCCAGGTAGGCATACCAGAACAGAGCCACCAGGTTGGCAAAGAGCACCCGGAACTGCCGGAGAGAACACAGGCCCGAGTAAGCGCAAGGCCCTCGTGACACTTAGCAGACACCAGTCCCCTAGGGCAGAGTCCACTCACTGGTGGGTCCGGCCGCCCACTGTTTGCCGGCTTTTCCTTTGTGCCGAGCACTGTGCAGAGGGAGAGGACGAATAGCTCCTGCCTCCTGAGGCTTACAGGCCAGCAGGGAAACCTCACAGTACCTGTCCCTCACCTCCCTCACGAGCACTTCAGCTTCAGGTCCTGGCTCAGCCTCTGTCACCTCAAGACTGTCCCCTCTGACCCCCCACAGGCCCTGCTCCTCACTCAAAGCTGTCACTGTCCCACTGCCCTGCTGCAGTGGTCTCCTGGGCAGGCACCCACCTGAAATCACCTCTGGTCAGGGAGTCTACCTGGCACGTGAGCTCCATGGAAGCAGCAGTCTGCTCCACCTCCTTAGTCAGTGTATCCCCAGCCTGCAGCAGTGGGCCCTACAGTAGGTGCTCAGTAAGCATTTGTTGAACAACCCACTGCCCCTTAAGCATCCATCCGCAACCACCTAGAATGGAAACCCCAGCCACATAGCTTTCTGTCCCTACTACTTGCAAAGATTCGATTTTCCAGCCTGTCCTCTGGCGCCCATAGATCCTTCCATGAGCCCGGCCACCCTGTCTTCTACGTCCTTGTCTCCTCCGTACACCTCACACTCATGGCCAAGCCCAGTTTCATCACCTCCTGTTCCCTGGCTGCACCCTCGGAAAGACCTTGACTCTCACTGCCCCTCACCTCCCCAAGCCCCAGGCCTGTGTGCGTGGTGGTCTCCAGCCTCCCTGGCCCCCATGTCCAGTGCACTCCCTCCCATTCTCAGGTGCATGCCTTTACCCCCTCATTCTGGCCCAACCCACCCTCTGCCCTCCCAGAAGAAAAAAGGCGTGGAGAGAGGTCCCCAGCAACTGTCACCCCCTCTCATCCCTGGTCACAAAGAGCCTCTGTGCTGATACCTGACCCTTCCCTTCCCACTTGGGGCGGCCCGTGCACACCTCTGTAAGACTGGACTAGCTTCTAGCTTCACAGCCTCCTCCTCACCCTCTCCCACCTATCACACCCACTGCTTCACCCATCCACTCCTCAATGCACAGCAGTCTGGCTTCAGCCCCGGGGAGCCCCTGGAGCTGCTCCTGGGGAGGTCACGTGTAAGGGTCACTGTTGAAGCCTGGGGAAACTAACCACCTTCCATTCCAGTGCAGCACCTGCGGTGGCTGCCTCTCCTGTAGTCTCCTCTGGGGTTTCTGCTACCGAATTCCTGGGGGTGGGGGTGGAGGTGGAGGTGGCAGAGCCTGTTCCTCCCACCGCCCCCGATCCTTCCAGCCGAGCTCTTTCCCAGGAGGGCTCTGCCCTCCTCTCCTCCCTCTAGAGCGGATGAAACCATTCTTCCCCAGGCACTCCAAGCAGGTTACTCCAATGGCTGCAGAAGAGCGGCAGCACGCAGGCCTGAGGCTGCTGTCTTTGGAAAGGCCCAGCAGCATCTGGAAACAAGGATTTCGGGAGGGGCCCCGCCCTTGCCCAACCGATAAGAATGGCCCCCAGTGCCTACCCTGCTTGCAAAAACACTGTGACTTGTGCTGACCGCCAGCCCTCCTCTGGAGCCTGGCGTTTTGGTCTGCAGAGCTTCCCCTTGACCGGCCCCCAGTAAGGACCTCAAATGTTGGGTCTCTGATGGGCGTTCCTGGGCAGAATCATGGCCTCGGTGTTGGTACATTTTGTTGGTAAGCGAGAGCTCGCGGTGTGTGACCAGCTAGGCTGGGCGGGGGTGGGGGGTGCGTAGGGACTCTGCAGTGGATTCCTAGGCCCCAGCTCGGTTTTGCTGCGCGGCCGTAATCAGCCTGGCCGGGCCGTCCTAGCAGATGCTCACCCCCCAGTGCGGCCCTGCGAGCCGCTGACCACGGGCCGCGCCTGGCCTGCACAGGCGGTGGGGAGGCCGGCCACACCCGCAGGCGCTCAAATCGGCGCGGGTACAGCGCCCGCCTGGGTGGCTCTGACGTCACTGCGGTGAGGCCCCGCCTCAGGGAACCCCGAGCGCTGCCCGGACCCGGGCCTTCCATAAACGTTTGCGTGATGAGTGCACGTAGGCGGGCACCGCTGCGGGCTTTGCCCCCGAATCCAGACCTTAAGGGTTCCGGGCGGAGTCCGGAACCTGGGTGACGCCGAGAGGAAACACAGGCTGTTGCGAGGGGCAGAAAAAGGCTGAAGGGGAGCGGCAGGGCGCCGGCCCCGCGGGCCCGCGCGCGCGGGCAGCCTCACCTGCACCGGGACGTAGTTGACGTTGATGAACTGCACCGGCGTCCAGAGGCGCCAGTTGGTCTGCAGCGCCGGCCAGAAGGCGCTCCTCACCTTGGCGGCGCCGGCGGCCGGGTCTCCGCCCTGGAAAGGAGGGAAGCGCAGGCGGTAAGCGAGCCCCACTGCCCTCGGGCTGAGGCCGGGGCACCAGGGTCTGGGGGGCCCCACACCCTAACACGGTGGGCTTCGCGCCGTCAGGAGCGGTGCAGCTGGACGCTCGCCCCCCAGCTGGAAGAGCCGCGGCACGGTGAGCGCCGCGCTCCCCGGAGGGGCGTCAGTCCCCGCCCCCGACGGCTGCCCCGCGGCGCTGGGCGCCCCGCACCTGCTCCTCAGGGTTCCGCGGTCAGTTCTTTACAAAATAGTCTCCAAGGTCGACGCATTCCCTACCGAAACTTGTCTGTTTTTTTAAATGCACCCCAATAAGTTGATCCTAAATATCTTCTGGAAGGATAGGTGCGTAATAGCCACCTTGAAAAGGCCAATGTTACCACAGATTTAAAATAGCGTAAAATATGGTGATGAAGAGTCTGGTAGCAACAGCCAAAAACCAAAAAAGACAATGGAAATGAACAGTCCATCAAAAGAACAGAGTCATGAACCCTGGCTGGCGTAGCTCAGTGGATTGAGTGCGGACTGGGAACCAAAGTGTCGCAGGTTCGATTCCCAGTCAGGGCACATGCCTGGGTTGCAGGCCATGACCCCCAGCAACCGCACATGGATGTTTCTCTCTCTTTCTATCTCTCTCCCTTCCCTCTCTAAAAATAAACAAATAAGAAAAAAAGAACAGAGTAATGCCCTAAACACACAGGAATGTGATAACTTAATGTTTCAAAACACCAGTATTGTTAAGTAACTAGTAATGAGACAATTTGCTATTTAAGTGCAAAATACCAAGACAGAAGCATTTATCCCGCTGTAAATAAAAATAAAACCATCAGAATACTAAAGTACAGCGTATTTCTTTTTTCTTTATCAAAATGTACAAAATCCTGAGTAGAATATTTCCCATATCTTCCTCTAAGGAAGCCCACAAAGGAAACAATGACAGATCTTGAATACCCGGATTTTTAAAACTCCTATATGGGGCCCTGCCTGGTGTGGCTCAGTGGATTGAGCGCTGGTCTGCGAAACCAGGGGTCGACTGTTCGATCCCCAGTCGGGGCACATGCCCAGGCTGCGGGCTGGGTCCCCAGTGGGGGGCACACAGAGGCAACGACACACTGACGTTTATCTCCCTGTCTCCCTCCTGTCCCCTCTCTCTAAAAATAAATAAATAAAATCTATTTTATTTTTAGAGAGGGAAGGGAGGGAGAAAGAGAGAGAGAAACATCAATGTGCGGTTGCTGGGGGCCGTGGCCTGAAACCCAGGCATGTGCCCTGACTGGGAATCGAACCTGGGATGCTTTGGTTCGCAGCCTGCGCTCAATCCACTGAGCTATGCCAGCCAGGTCTAAATAAGATCTTTTAAAAAATAGGTGATGTAATGGACGTAGGAGTTGTTTTTTTTTTTTAAATAAAACTCCTATATGGGGAAAGACACTATAAAAAACTTCACTTGCAACTCAAACATTTCAACTTTATTAAGTTGGAAGACAAACACCTAAAAAAGGGGGGGAAATGTCTGCAGCTTGTATTTGGCACATGATCGCTGTCCTCAACACACAAACATACGAACCAGTTCAGAGAAAGCAAGCACGCTAACAGAAAACAGGTGAAGCTCACGGAACACAGGTGAGCACAAGGAAGGCATTCTGCTTCATAAACAGGTGTAAGGTAAGCTGTTTTTCACCTCTCAGATAGCAAGTTATTTAAAAGGAAACTGCAATCACAGTTGTCAGGAGTGTTTCCCTCGCAGAGGGAACAGCTGTAAGGGTTAAGAGCACTGGAGTCACAGAGCCTGGGTCTGCCTCTGACTCAGGACTCTCGGGTCACAGGGACCCAGGAGGCCAGCTGTGCACCCTGTGGGCCTCGGCCTCCCCTGTGGTCCAGTAGGGGAGGTGCGCCCGGCTGCGCCTGAGGCAGAGCACGGACAAGGCAGGTGCTCAAGGAAAGTCAGCGGGCGCCGTTCTTCCGTGTCACTGCGGGGAGGACGGAGGGTGGCCTTCTCAGACGGTTCTAGGAACTAACCAGACAGGAGGCCTTCCGTGGCAGGGACAGGCATGAGGTGGGACGCTGTCACACGGTGTCTGTGAGCAGAAGAAAGTGCCAGCTGCAGCGGCTGGAGCATGAGAGCGTCTAGGGCGGTCCCCCGAGTTATCATGTGTGTGCAAGGTGCTTCTCACACTCTGGTAACACCTGACACAGGCCCAGGGTTTCTGCTCTCTCACGAAAATGTCTTTCCCGCAGATTTGGAAGGAAGTAACACAGAGCCCTGGAGCCCTCGCTTCTGACGTGGGCCCCTCTGCTGCCTCGGCTCAGATCTCCTGGGGACGTTTCACTGTCAGGGACTTACCAGCAATCACAGTGAGGTCTACACTTCTTTCCTACTCCCCCCGGTCCCTCTACACAACAAGGGGTATTCTCCTCAGTAACAAGAACCTGAGATACTGCTCCAAAATAAAACCTGCATGAGAAGACTTGATGGTCTGCGACTGGCTGAAACAAATTTCAAGGCGGAGCACGGCGCATCTCAGGCACAGAGAAGGAGGTGAGGGTGGAGGCACCAGAGAACTGGGCAGGGCCCGGCACGAGGCTGGGGGGTGCAGACCTCCCACATGGGGCCCAGGACACCACATCCATGCTGCTGAGTCAGCTCCTTCAGAGCACTTGGGAGGCCCAGGCACTGAGTTAGCTCAGGCTTCTGCTACACCCTTGGGGTCTGAAACCCCTGGGCCACAGTCTTTCTGGCAGTGGCATGGACCCAGTTTCCAGAACCACGTTTGGTAATGTATAAAATATACAGGGCTGCAGAGGAAACAAGTACACTGAATACAGTATCCACGTATTCAGAAGAGTTTCACGATCGACTAGTATATGTGCTTTAGTAACACATTCAGTGACGAGACCTAACAGCAGGTTTAAGGAGTGAGGAGCATAAATGTCATTCGGGGACATCTGACTGGTGTGTGATTTCCACTGCGGACCTGCGGGCACTGCGCACACGGCTGTGCTCCCCTCCCAGTGTTCCCCGAGAAAAACGGGAGCCTTCATCTGAGTGTCTCGACAAGTTCACAGACCCTCAGGCTTCCACCCCCAGACGTAGGTCAAGAGCCCCTTTGCCCAGGGAGGAGCTGGGGGGGGGGGTGGCAGCGGAGACCAACCTCCAGGAAGTTCATGACGAGGAAGAACAACAACAGGAAGGCCGGTGCAAAGAGAAGGCGGTCCAGGAGGAGCCTCTTGACCCCGGCCCAGGGGACCTCGGGAGGGATCCAGTGCTCCATGAAGAGGTAGAAGAAGTGACTCAGTGGCCCTGTGAAGAAGAACCTGAGGCCCGGGGGTGGGGGGGAGGGGTGAGCTGGAGCGCCTTCTAGTGCCTGGGCACACCCCCACACACCAGGTCCCAACCCGGCCCCCCTGCGTCCCTCCGCACTGACCCCGCGGAGCTGCGGTGCCTCTACAAAGTGAGCTTGTTTGACTCGACCTCAAGCGTTCTTTTTTGCCTCTGATGGATCAGACTCCCCCCTGCCCTGGATCCGCACCATCCTCCCATGGCCACCTCCTCAGCACTGTCTGCTGGGAGAGTTCTTTCCCGCTTGTTCTCGATAACGAACCCACCACTGTCTCCACCACCCTCTGTCCCAGGGCCCACTCCGTTTTCTTCACAGCAGGTGTCACTACATGCCACGGTCTCATTTGTTTAATTGCACAGTGCCCTCTCCTCACCCCCTGGAAGGTAAAACCGTCCCACTGTCACAGGACAGGATTGTGTCTGTCTGTTCACTGCTCTGTCTGCAGGGCCTGGCTCAGCAGGTGCTCAGTGGTAAATAAAAGGACACACCCCGGGTAATTAGCCAGGGGAACCCTGGGGCTGTACACCAGCTTGTCGGCACTGCTGCCCTTCATTGCAAAGTGCACGGAGACCTGGACCCAGACACACGCTTTGCGCCATAAAACTCAGAAATAAAAAGATGGGCAGGCACCCAGGGGTCTTCCAACTTCTGACACTGAGATTCTTCAAACAGCTGGTTCCCAGTGGTCCTTCCCACTCTGCCAGAGAAGGACAGCAGCCTCTTGATGGAAAACTGGTGGGGAAGGCCCCCCAAGGGATTCCAACACACTCCCCCCTCTCTGGGGGGTGGTGAATTACACTTTTAAACACATTATGGAAAAAGCTATGAATAAACTTAACAACTCACAGACGAGATCAGCTGCGTTCAGGGTGGTATGGCCGTAGACTAAAGTTAACAGTACTAACAAACATGGTATTTGTGAATTTTGAATTGGAGAAAAAAATCACTTATTGCAAAAGACTTCAAAATCATCCTTCCATACAGATACTACTATTGGCCAGAGAACTCGGTGAATTTAGTTGGTAAGGCTCCTGAATCTCTGGGCTTTTGCAATGCAATAAGTGGTTCAGGAACTGGGCATTTTTCAGGACACCTCAGTATTTTTTCTGGATGTTTGTGCTATGAAAATAGCTAACTGGTGGGACTGAGTCTGTTCTCCATTATCAGTGGTCTTTCGGTCTTGAAGTCTGGCTTAGATTCAGGTGTGTTATCTGCTCTTAGTTCCCTCAGCCCAATGAAGAGACTGCTCCCACCCATGAAACTTAAAATAACCCTATAAAACTAGAAAATAAATGAAGTTAACATCCGCTGTTCTGATTTTTCCCCATGATTACTTCAGTGCTTTTAAACATTATTTTTCTAAATTAGATTACTCCAGAAACTTGATACCTTAGCTTTACCGCACTGTCTGCTACTGGGCGAACCAGCCCCATTATGGAACTCACCCGTAAATGGCATATCTGAGAGGCCCATTGCCGTCTAGCTTTTGAGAGCCGATTTCTTTTTTCCTCTTCTTAATCATCTGGGCCAGGAAATTCCCAAGTGCTGACAAGATGCCGCTGTGGACAGAGGGGTGGTAAGAACACAGGAGCAGCAGCAGGCAGGCTCCGTCCCCACACGGAGCCAGCAGGGCTGTTCTGAGGTCCTGCTGGGGGTGCAGGGACAAATCCTCATAGGGCAGCAATGCAAGGTCCCTGGGTCAAAGGGCAGAGGAGACTGCAGGACACACACACACACGGGAGCACAGCGGGATCTTCACTCCGTGGACAGTGTCAGGGTCCATATCCCGGTGGTGACATTATCCTGTAATTCTGCAAAGGTCACCATGTGTGGGAGGGAAAATTTGATGAAAATTTTCAGTGTTTTGGCCCTGCTGGTGGATAAAACCTGCACGTGATACGAGAGCACTAAACACACACACACACACGGCAAGTGCAAGAAAAGCTGGGGAAATCTGAGTATGATCTGTGGTCTGTATCCACTTCAGTGTTCTGGTTGTGATATTGTATTTGTCTTACAAAATGTTACCGATGAAGGAAACCCGGCAAGTGTACAAGGGATCTCTCTGCATTACTTCTTACAACTGCATGTGAGTCTGCAATGATCACAGTAACACATTTCAATGAAAAGGTAGAGATAGGCTCAGTCCCTCCAAGGCTGGTCTGCAGCTGCCCTCTGAGCAGCTCTCAGAGATAAAATATCCAAAGGTCTCAGTGTGGGCGATAAAGACCTTGATCTGATCCCTGGACACTTGTCCTCCCCCTTGCTCACTGTTCAACTTCCACTCCATCAGCCAGCTACTCCCTTCAGACCTTTGCAGATGCTGTACCCGCTGCCAAAGAGCATTTGCGTCCCTTCAGCTTCTGTTCAAATGTCGCCTCCTTGGATAAGTTCCCTGTTTTATAGGTTTACCCGCTTTTTGTCTAGTTCTTCACTAGAATGCCAGCTCCATGGCGGTCGGGGCCTTAGCCACCTCTCTAAACACTGAGGATGCTGGGCACCCAGGAAGAGCGTTGTGCACGTTTATGAAAGGCTGAACTAATAAAAGGGACCAAGTTTGTAAAATCGGTTCGCTGGAAGTAATGAGGAGGGAGCTGTCTCATAAACAGGGCTGCGGTGTAGGTCAAAGGGCGGGTCCGCCTAGCGGCTCCGAGGCGCTTTGCCCACACAAATCTGATCCCCTCGCCCTTAGAGCTCTCCGGCCGACGTAGACCCCCACCCCCTCCCCCAGGCTCGTCGACGCGGGGACGCATCTGCAGGATGCAGTGCCCCAGCCCCCAGATTCTAGGCTCTCCCCTATCCTGTACCCGGGTGCTCAGCGAGAGCGCCTGCGAATGACAGTGCGGAGCCCGGGTGGGCTTCGGGTCCCTGGAAGCCCGTTCTACGCCGGCAGGAGCCTTCCGCACTCAACCCCCTAGGGAGGCGGCTCCGCAGCTTGTTCTCTGGCCGCGTCCGCCCGGCCCCGCCCGGCCCGCGCCCACCTGGTGGCCGCTTTGGTGAGCACCGGGTAGAGCCGCAGGAGGCGCAGGTACTGAGAGAGCGCCCGCCGCGGCAGCGCCGCGAGCCCGGTCTCGGACGGTAGCCTGGACGCGGCCGGAGCCATGGTCTCCGGGTACCCACCCCGCCCCAGGTCCGCCAGGAGCCGGCGCGGGGACGGCCAGACATTTCCCGCCCCGCTGCGTCCCGCAGCGCCGCGGGGGACAGAGCCGGCCGTGCGCAGCGCGCGCCTCCGCACACTTTTCCCCGGGTCCCTAACGGGCCGCCTCCCCTCGGGCGCCGGCGGCGATTGGAGCTGGAGGCGCCTGCGCAAAGCCCTCAGGCGTCCCGGAGGAGCCCCCTCCCCTCCGGCGCAGGCGGTGATTGGAGCTCCGCGGGTGGGGCGCGACGAGTCTCCCGATTGGGCGGCAGGGCACTTCTCGTCTCTCGCGAGAGTTGGTGGGAGCGCGCCAAATTTCTCCGGGGCTGCCGTGGGGGCGCGATGGTGCTGAGGAACAGCGGGCGGCGATACGCGGAGCCGGGCGCGGACGGCGAGGCCAGCCGGTGAGAGGCGCCGCGGGCGCGCTCGGGCCCTCCCTCCCTGCGGGGCTCTGGGCTCACGCTGAGGAGGCGGCGGGCGCGGCGCTCTCGTCCGCCCGCGCCCCGCGGTTGTCCGCACCCCGCGGCTCTCAGCGGCTGGGGCTGCGGTGGGGATCCTCGGGAGCCGCCCCGGCGACAGGGAGGTGCCGAGTCCCGGCAGCCGCCGTCCCCTTCAGTCCCCTCACAGCCCGGGCCGGGACTGCGGGGCCCGCGGGCAGCGCGCCGCCTGGGTCGGCCCGCGAGCCGGCCGCGCGGCGCCGGGTACGGAGCGCCCGCTTTGTCCAGAGAACCGGGCGCCACGGGACGGTCGTTCCTGTCAGCCCACTTGGTCGTCGCGGTTCTTGCTTTAAAACAACAACAACAACAACGCTGCGCTGTGCCGCCGGCTTCGCAGCTTGCTGTCTGTTGCTAAAACCCGCGCAAGTCTCACCGAATCTGCGGACCTGCCCTGCCCTGACAGAGTGCGCACCCTGCAGACACGGTCGCGCGCGGCGGCGGGCGGGGGCGCGGGGCCGACCCTGGCGGGGGGGCTCCTCCCGGGCGCGGTCTCCGAGGCCGGCAGAACTGCCGAGCGGATCGAGGGACGTCCACTCTGCCGAGAAACACGCCGACCAGGGAGCAGACCCTTGAGAAGTAAAGTTAAGACACAAACGACTCTTCGTTTTGAGGCCACTGTAGATCCTCGGTGCGGGGGTGCCTGACTCCTGCGCCGGGCTCCCGGGTGGGCGGCGGCGTCCCGCGTCGCCGGAGCCCGAGCTCCTGTGCCCGGGTGTGTGCGCACCCGGCCGGGCCGAACCCTCCGCGGGGCGGGGGTCACCCCGTGCACCGCCTCTGCTTTCGCCAAACCAACGGAGTCCTGAAACGGGCGCCTTGCAGGGGAGGTGGCTTGTTTCTCTCGCCCCAGTTCCCTGGCGGTCCGGTCCGTCCTGGTTGTTGCCAGTGCCGCCGAGCCGGTCCCTGTTTATCGGTGGGCAGTGTTTCCATTTTCTGGCCGCGGCGAGTGGAGCAGAGCCGCTGCTCGCGTGCGGGCTGTGGAACGGTCGTGAGGTCGCCTGTCTCTGGGATGAAGGGCCGGGAGCGCGGTGCTGGCCTCCTGCGCTTTCGCTGTCCCCGGGCAGCCGTGTCCAGCCGTGGTCGTTGTTTCTGGTGTCCTGCTCCCAGACGTGAGCAGCTGTGGAAGGTCTCGCCTGCCCCACTCGTGCTTTTCCCGGGACTTGTTATTTTAGTGGGCGGTTTTGCTCAACGGGAAGTTTTTCAGGGATGGGTCCACCGTGTGGCATCTGAAACCCCCTCCCTGCACGGACCGAGGGCTGTGGAGTGCAGAGCACGGTGGTGAGTGGGGGCTGGGTGTCCCTCCCTCCATCAGGGATGACGGCCCCACGTCCTCGGCCTCGGCCCTCAAGCGCCTGGAGCGCAGTCAGTGGACGGACAAGATGGATGCGCGGTTCGGCTTCGAGAGGCTCAAGGAGCCAGGGGAGAAGACCGGCTGGCTCATCAACATGCACCCTGTGAGCTCCCGGGCTCTGCCTCCCCTGTGGGGCACAGGTGGAGGTGGGCGTGTTGGCAGTTCCACTGTGTAACATGTTTGGGCCACGGAGGACGCTGAGAATGGGGGGCGCAGATCTCTATTACCTGTGAGCACATAGCTTTTAAGAAGGAGGACAGATGCAGAGAGACTCCTGTCGGGAGGCTGTGACGATGGGGGTTTGTGAGTGGGGCTGGTGGCCTGGGTGCAGGGCTGGGGGAGGGTTTGTTTTCAAAGCGGAGGAAGGCGCTGTTGTGCCGGGCAGAGGATAACCTCGCGCCCGTGCTGACTGACCCCTTGTAGACTGAGGTTCTGGACGAGGACAAGCGCCTGGTCAGTGCAGTGGATTACTACTTCATTCAGGACGATGGGAGCAGATTTAAGGTAAGTCCCTGGACCCCAAGAGGCGAAACCCACTCGGTGACGAGGCTCAGCTGAGCCCAGAGTGACACGTGATCGTTGAGCTCTACGGCTGGGGGGAGAGCTTGGGAGGCTTCCAGTGTGCAGCTGCCGGGAGCCCGCTGGGAAGGTGGGCCCTGGGAGCACGCTCCTCACCACGTAGGGTGGGCTGACGGGACTAGCCGGGGAAGACCGACAGGTGGGCAGCGTCCTGTCCCTTGGGCCCTTGCCCTGTGGTGTGTGCAGACCCTGAATCCCTGTTGCCCCATCTCTCTTAAGAGATGTCAAGTGCAAAGGTGCCGGTGGGTCTGGGCTGCTCACAGGCGTAGCAGCCTGTCTTCTCCATTCTCCCTCTCCTTTCTCATTGTCCCTGAATGGTCGGTGACTCTTACAGGTGGCGCTGCCCTACAAGCCATATTTCTACATTGCAACCAGAAAGGTATGTCCATGCTTCACGGAATCAGTTCAGAAGAACTGTGCCTCCTTGTTCGGGGTGGGGAGTGCGTCAGAACTGAAAATGAAGAGGCCTCTAGAGAAACAGCAGGGAAGGAAACATTTTACTAACGGAAGGTCCTTTCATTCTGACCCTGATTTAGAGCTGTGAGCGAGAAGTTTCAGCTTTTCTCTCCAAGAAGTTTCAGGGTAAAATTGCTAAAGTAGAGACTGTCCCCAAAGAGGATCTGGACTTGGTGAGTGTCACTCATACCTTTCAGGGTTTGTGAAGCTGGGTCCACTCTGCCAGGGGTAACATGGTAGGAGGCCAGGCTCAGCGTCTGTGGGTGCGGGGAGGTGGGGACGGGGCCTTGATGACGGATGTCCTCTTGAGAGAACTCGGGGGCATGTTTGGTGCCACATGCAACGTTGAGCAAGGTGCTTTGCTGTTGCCAACTTTTTTGACAAGTATACTTACGTTTGAATCGTCCTGCCTTTATTTTCTCCTTCCAATAAAATCTTTCTTGCATGGTCTCTTCACTCTGTAGCCAAATCACTTGGTGGGCTTGAAGCGAAATTACATTAAGCTGTCCTTCCACACCGTGGAGGACCTCGTCAAAGTGAGGAAGGAGATTTCGCCTGCCGTGAGAAAGAACCGGGAGCAGGGCCACGCCAGCGATGCCTACACGGCTATGCTGTCCAGGTAGGCTTCGCTCCACGGGCAGAGCAGCCAGCCCGTCATCGGGAGCGTCCCATTTTTCTCTACGCTGACAAGAGGGATAGGAGGTGGGAAAACCCAGCAATTAAGTGACTTTAATGACTGGCTCTGTTCAACGCGGAAACACTTTTGAGCAATTAAATAGAATTTCCTATATGCTCAATTTGTGTGAAATAATTAATGGTGACTTCCATGTTTTATCTTATATTTTGTCTGTCTCTTATATGGGGTAGATTTGCAACTCTAAAATTGAGTTGCTGTAACAGTAAAGGCAGTTTAGATTTCTAATTCCATTTCCTTAACATTCTGTTTTCATAATTTATGGTAAGTATTAACCTATCTACACATTTTATTAAGTGCCTGGATTTACACAGCACATTTTCTTCAGAGAACCTTGGGCATTATGCAGAGAAATTTCATATTCTCTGCACCAAACACTGTTTGCAAACTTTTACACAATAGTCATACGGAGCAGGGGAAGAAGTTAAGGAGAGGAGGTCTTGGCAAAGTAACAGGAGAACTAACTGTACCCTCTGACAAAAGAAGATCAATTTAGGACCCTGAACACTTCTGCAAACGCCCCTCGCCCCCTTGGTGCCCCTTAAGTTACTTTTTAGAATATTGCAGGACGTAACCAGAGATCAGGTCCCCAGAGGCCTGAGCCTTCTCTAAAACTCACTGTCTTTTTCCCCTTAATAGTCCATTCCCGTAGTTTGAAGTTTAGTGGGTTAATATTGGAGTGAATATTCTACTGACAATGATTTCCTGTTTGAATATGGTAGGAGTAGAAATGGTAACAGAAATAGTTACTACTTACCTGTCACTCAACCTTTTCAACGGCCTTAGAACTGTTACATCACAACACTGCTGCGTTTTCTTGATGCAGAAACCAGCTCAGTGAGGGCAGGTCACACTTGTAGATGTGTCTCCCAAGTAACAGAGTTTCCTCTTTATTCTTTTAATGGAGGTATAACCTGTGTCCTGTGACGTGCACGTGTTCTAAGCGTACACTGAACTTCCTTGTGTCTGTGCCTGCTGCTCAGCAAGGGTGTCATCCAGGGTCACCCTTAAGAAGGGCCCATCCTGGTCCTCAGCTGCCTTGGTTTAACTTTTGTGTTTGCTCCCTGTGGGTCGTGCTGTCTCCACCCCAGTCCTCGGGGAGTGCAGTTGAGTAAGCTGCTCTCTATTTCGCAGTGTTCTGCAAGGGGGCAGTGTGGTTATGGATGAAGAGGAGACCTCTAAGAAGACTGCCGACCAACTGGACAACATTGTGGACATGCGAGAGTACGACGTGCCCTACCACATACGCCTCTCCATCGACCTGAAGATCCATGTGGTGAGTGGGCGAGGCTCACGGGAGTGCCCGACAGCCAGAGGGTGGACTGAAGGGTAAATCCGTGGGGAAGCAGATTCAGAGCTCTCCAGTTCATGGCTGCCCATCCTGCAGGCACATTGGTACAATGTCAGACACCGAGGGAGCGCCTTGCCAGTGGAGATCACCCGTCGAGATGACCTCGTTGAACGACCTGTAAGTGCTGTTTTTCCTCCAGCCCAAGTTGCCCGCTGGTTTTTCGAGAGGTCTAAATCAGTGCTGAAAGGACAATTTGATTCAAAGGTCTATTT